TGGCCACATTCTGGACGCCATCCGCACCGGCAGTACTCGACAATAGACCGCATTTAAGAGCCGTTGACATCGAAAACGGCTGACTCTTGAAGACCTCTGGTCTCCAGAGAACTCCTATCTCTCGGCCGCCGAACCGGTCGTAGAAAAAGAGCGCAAATTCTTCGTAAGTGTCTCTCAATTGTCTTAAATAAGCGTCAATTGGATCGAAGGCCACAATTGGCAGCAATTCGTTGACTTCGGGATCAAATGTCTTGACCGCGAACTCGAACTTCTGGGGGAAATCCACGGCTTGTATTTGATTCACAATTTGATCCGATTTTAATCGTATGATCACATCATAGATGTCTAAATCGGGTCTAAATATCGACTGAAAAAACAATTCAATAATTGATTAAAAGACAATTGAAATCTAAAACCAATTGAAACAGTCTTTACTTTTATGTCAAAATCGATGCCATCCCTCATATGTCCCTCCAGTGCCTGTTTGGCAGCCGTTGCCAACACCTGAATCCGATTCAATACGACAGCATCGGGCCATCGATGAGTCCATTCCGAGAGTCGCTTATCGTAACCACTCGTCACAAACATCGCCGCATATTTAGACCTATTCTTCATGAACTTGGCGTTCATATCAGTTACCACTCCCTCCTCCAGGTCTCCATTCAAGTCCACAATCAGTGGAGTTATCTTCCAATTGTGGTCACAGATCAGTGACAAGAATCTTATGAACCCAACAGTCGGTGAACTAAAATCACATTTAAATCATTCAATTTTCACTTCATATGACATACAAAGAACTCATACTTTGGAACAGTATATGGATTTGGATTAAGGAATATATGGGCGACTATCAGATCCACAGCCATGTCATCCAAATAGTGGGCCAACATCTGCGACCCGATCCACCGTTTGGCTAACCGACAGCTGATCCCATAGCACAGACACCTGCGACTCAACGCATTTAAGGCGCCATTGATTTTAGGGATCACTTCGTATGTCGTCTCTAAACGGTCGGCCACTTCGCTGTCGACGCGCTTCACGAGTCCGTCCGGTGTCTGGATTTGTCTCAAGAGAACCAACTCTTTGTGCGAACCAATTATCACTCGAAACACGTGTCCCGTGTCGTAGACATCGACATAGTCAACGCCGGGATGTGATACTAATCCGTACTGTTTGGACAGTCGTTTAGCTAACTCTATGTGAAAGGAGGCCCTCACCCGACGGAATGCCTGCACATTGTCCGGCCATTTGCCACTGCCTTCCAATTGGATAATCACTTTCAATGGCTTGAAATACTTGGGAACTCTTTGATCGATCAGTAGATCAAATGCGTTGCAGTTCTTCAACACGTTATAAGACTTCCCACTATTCATAGCCAACGGCGGGAATACTTCTGTGGCACGAAATACCGGATCAATTGACTGGACGTGAGTGACAGTCAGTGGAAGTCCTTCCAAACTCCTTAACTTCTTGGACAATGAGTCCAACTTATGAGACAATGAGATGAAAAACTCTTCTCCCGTTCCGTACATCACATTCTTGTCGTCGAACTTCAAGTTCTTGAGCTCAACCATCGGATTCAATAGGGCTCCAGTGCTCAACATCGCCGTCGAGTCGATGTCTAAAATGTTTATCAAAATGAATTCGAGGGCTTCGGAGACAATCTGTCGCTTCTGAGACAACGTCTTCGCTGTCCAATAGACGGCTTCGCAGATGGAATTGTCCTGAAATCTTCTCAATTCTGACTTCGAGCCCCAGAAGTCTTTGAAATCCTTGGCCTCTTCAGTGTCCGCTTCGGGACCTCTTTCTATGGTATTGTAGGCGTACTCCTCATTAATCAGTAGACCAAACGTGAGGAATGGTATGTCGTTTGGATGCGGCGGCAACTTATTCACAGCCCACTCGTGAGTCTCATAGGACCGGGACTTGTGCTGCAATAGAGACACCCGTTTGCCCACAACTCGCTTCATAAGAGGCACTAAATGGCCCACAAATGCGGTGACAGTATCTCCGCACTGGTCTCTAATGTCTTGAGATATATCCCCCACTTTTGACGACTTCAGTAGCGATGGAACCGAAATCCTTTGCGACAAACAATTTATTG